TTACCTCAACATTACAAATGTCTCTTCAAGAGATGGATGCCTAAATTTCAGGCATTACTGAGCTTTATAGTACCCAAGTTTCTCTACAAATCTGCTCCTGAGGTATGTGTGGTGGGGGTAGGGCAGCCCAGGGATTTAAAAGAAAAGGCATCAGAGAAGAAAAACTTAAGTAATCATAGGTTTCTTTTGTGGATGCATTATCCTCATCTTCTTGAGCATGAATACAGAACAACAATCACTCTTCAGCACAGTATGAAAGATAGAACATCATAGTGTCATTATGGATCGCAGCTTAAGGAACCCCTAAAATTCATTTTGTTCAGAAACAGCATCCAGGAAAATTAATAACACTACCTCCTAAAGTAAAGCAATACTGCCTTCAACATGGTCTTCATACCAGCTCACTTCCACACCATCGGGGAAACAATGATTTTCCCCTCCTCCTGCTGCCTATGTTTCTTCTTTTGAAAAACTTCAAGAGAATTAAAAATTTATTCTATTTTCCTTTTCCCCCACCACACAAGAAAAAATATTTCTGAACAAGATCATACTGTATTTTTAATTACTCACAAAATCAGCATTTAGATAGCACCGTTCATCCAAGAGTTCTGTGGCATACTTAAATTTCAATTACATCAAGTACTTGTTTACTTTTTCATGCTTTGAGGACTTACAGATGATTATTATCATCATCATCCTTACTTTATCAGGGAAACTATTAAAGAAACTGAGGCATGTAGTAGCTAAAGACCAGATTCTGCTTAAATTTGCACAAAGATCTGGAACAGTGCTGCTGAAGTAAATGCAGTTACACTTACCTAGAACTAGGCTAGTACATGGCACACAGCAGAGACCTAATTATTTCAAAAGGCTCCAAGTACAGCTGTGGTGGAAGGAACAAAAGTAAAATCTCTATGCTGAGTCACAAACCTCTTCCCAATTCACCTGCTCATCATAAAGAATCAAATAATATTTTTAGCAAGAGCAGCCAGCGAGGGGTCAGGAAGAGATTAAATAGCTATACCAAGGTCATATAGGATATCTGCGACAGAGAATGTTTCCAAGCCCAGACTTCCCAATTTCCAGCATACCACTTCAATCACTCGCACACCTTTAAACACCACTAACCATAAGGACAAAATAAATCCAAAGAAAATGCAATGCATTTCCAGAAGTAGTCGAGCATCTTAAAGCGTCCTGTACCTCATCAAAGGAACGTTTCAACAGAGAACACCAAGCTGATTCTGCAAAACCGTGATGAAAAAGGGATGCGTACCAGGTACAACCACTGAGCTCCTTAACTGACATTTCTCTGCTAACCAGAGCAACTGTGCACCATACTGATGAGAAGCGTGCAGTTAAGTGTTTCAGCTCACTGGATACCCTCTGATCAACGAACTTAAAATAACACAGTTTTTATCTCTCCCTGCCAATCATTGCCTTTATTATGCAGTTTTAGAACATTTCCCTCTTTCAGAGAAAGCTCTATTAAACATTCATTCTGGGTATTTCCTATTGGAGTCATGGGGGAAAAGTTATTTTCATCATGCTGCTTTCTTAAAACAGACAATAAATTTGCCAGCAACATTTGTATATGTAGTAAAGTGTCAATAAAGTACAGCATAATATTTTATTTCTTTTAAAGATTTCACAGAAACAAAGATGACCAATATCTCTGAGGAGTAAGACCTGAGAAAAATCTTAAGTCTTTGGCTTATATTCCCTGCTTAAGGACTTGAGTCCAGATCAAGATGCAAAACAAAGAGAAACTTGTGGTACAATACAGAATAAAGAGTACCCTAGGGATGCAGGGGGAGAAGAAAAAGGACGTGGAACTTTACTTTTGGGTTAGCCAAAAAATAACAAACGAAATGGCTGCTCTGTGTTATAAAATAAATTGAGGCTTACTCTAGGGTTTAGTGATGTAGTAAAGCACTTCCTCTGGGTTCTCCTCTCTGACACATAGCATGTTAACTAGATTTAACCATAAAAATTCTGGAGTTTCTCCTTCAGCACTGAAGATGAATATTGTCTTTTGGACACATTTTTCACTTTGCAGTCATCATTTTTTCTCTCTCTTAACCAAAAACCTTCAAACATTTTCTGACACTTATTTCTAATGAACAGTACTTAGGTGCACCCACCGGTTTTGCCTGCTTCATTCTATTTGGCTTGCTCACTTGCGGCACCTATTTCTGCAAACTGTTACAAAAATCTGTAAATGTTGAAGCCATCCATCACTCAATGTGATGGCCACCAAATACCAGAAAACATGGAACCAGCATGGACTTACGCAGTTCTTCCCGGTGCCTCTCCGTCTGGGCAAAAAACTGACGAAGCTCCTCTGTGATCTCCATGTTACTCAAGTCATATTCTATCTCCCCTTCAGACTCAGAGTCCTCCTCCATTTCGGAGTCCCTGTCAGCATCCTCCCTCCCTTGGCGGGTGTCTGTGTAGCGCTGAGCTCCCCCATGGTACTGAGCTCTGCCATGTGGCCTATAGCTGCAAGAGTAGTTTTGGGTATGTGGGAGATCATCCCCATCCCAATCTGAGTAGCGGCTACTTGGAGAAGCTGCAAAAGGATGCCACGGTAGGTGATAAAAGGACTCCATGGCTTTCCTGTAGGCTTTCTGGTGTCTACGCATCCAGCGCATGGCTAAGTCATAGTGCTTCCAGTATTTTGCATACACTCGCTGAGAATACCATGGCTCAGTGTCTTCCTGTGGTCAAAGCATGGGGGAGAGGGAAAGAACACACACACAAGAAAAAAAAAAAAAAAAAAAGAGAGAGAGAAAACAAACGGTAATTCAGGGGAGAAACACTAAACACATGTGCAAAGTTTGCCTTTTAATCATCAGTCATCCTTTCCCTATGATAAACCATATCGACCTGAAAGAGGACAAGTATTAACACAGTGCAAGTGCACTACACTTTGTTACTCTTACAAGAGATTGTTTTTTCATCAACACAACTACCCGTGAAAAATTAGAGAAGTTGTAGTGTCTAGAAGGTATTTTCCAAGTGTTTGTGCTACTACAGTGGGAATCAGTTGTTTTTAGGGGCTATGCCTTGTGGATATATTCCACAATTCCTTAGCCACTCATGTGAGTTGTAAAAACTGAATCATTCCAAGGTGTATGTATTACACCTACACCTGATTTCCAAATCCGCAGACAGAAAACACAAGAGATTAAAATTCTTCCATATTAAACAAAGGCATTCATTTTATCCAGTAACATATTTCCTCCATCTGCCTGCCAAATAAGTTTCTCAGAAAAGGTCAAATGGCAATTCAGCCAAGTTCATATATCCATCATGGCCTCGATCAAAAACAAGACTGTATTTGGTGAAGTGCAAGCTGCCAGTAAATCTCCCTTTTGTACTCATCAGCAACCAATGTATGAAAAGGGGTAACAAAGTACCACTGATAAATACGGAAAAATAGTTCTGTAGAATGAAACACACAGTAACACACCTTCTCCTGTCTTCCAGCTAATCTTAGTTTTCCTGAAAAAACAGTTTCATGCTGTTCAGACTTCACCAGCAACTACAAAGCCCCACAGTCTATCTAGCCTTAAGCCCCCTTCCTACAGGCCGTTTAATCTCCCTCCTCATCCTACTGTCAAGAAGAGGGGATAATAAAAGATCTTAAGAAAAGGCCATAAAGTAAACTAGAGCCTAGAACAAGTAAAAGAAATAGCAAATGTTTTTTTCTTTCCCGTCCACATCTTAATTTCCACAAAAAAAAATCTTTCGTCTAGGCCAAAATAGAATGCCTGTACTTTAAATTGGAAGATTTTAATTAAGCCATGTTTTGGAAAACACTCAAAACTATGGCAAGATTAGCTGAGGTTTTCAGAGGTGAATGTGACATTTACAGTCCTTTATGAGTGTTGTGTTTGTTTTTTTTTTTTTTAAAAAGGGCATACAAGACAAAAATCTTTCTTTAAGCATGTTTTTTTGATCTGCACTGGCACCATTCCATAGCCTTAAAAGAATGATTTTCCTGGGGAAAAAAGTCCCAAAACAAAACAGAAAAAACAAACCTAAGAAATACTTTCCATTTAATGCTAACAGTATCAAGAGAGGTTAATTTCATTTACTTGCATTTGTTTTCACTTTCTGGTTCTCAGGCAATAATGCAAATGCTAGAGAGTTTGGAATAATAATTGTAACTCTTACGTTTCCCTTCTTTCTGCAAAATTGAGCCCATTATCCCATAAGAGATCTATAAGTCTCTTAAATCTATAAACCCTCTTTTTTTAAGGTCATTGGTAAGCTCTCTGAGAAACAACATACCTCCAGCTAATAGAGTACATAAAGAAAACCCACTACAACAAACTTGCATTCCTCAAGAATTTCTGATCAAAAATTGCACCCTATTTGTGAAGGGCTGTGGGGCTCAGCTACGTGATTTAAAAGTCCAGACAAATTACCTTTCTTAAAAAGTAACAATTAATGGAAGCAAAACTTAATTCTGATTTTTCTCTTGGTTCAACCTTGTGCTGCTACAAGACCATGCATTTCAGAAGATTTATTCCCAAGATGAGTGGGTGCAAGCAAAGCATCTGCCTTCCATATGGAATTTCTTCATTCTTAATCATCCAACCACCTAAAAGCTGGGATGAACAATGTTTTATTTACTGTTCTTGCTTAAGAATGTCACAGTGACTCCTCATCCTTCAGCAGCCAGATGAGAACGTCCTGTTGTCAAATCTGATACGTTCACAGGTTACTTTCAGAACATTTTGTCTATTTTTTCCACTACTTAAAAATCCAGTTTTGAAACATCATGAAGCTTGACAAAAGCAGGTATCTCCTACATTCTATGTATTTTCAAAGAAGACAACATATTCTTTTAAAGCTCAAAAAATATCTCCAGTTCTTCTAAAATGTTTCTAAAAAGGGCCTTGATGACTTTACTGAAAACTCTGGAATCCAGCTGGCTGATTTGTCTAGCTGACTAGCTCCACTTGTTAATTTAGGGGAAAGGAAGACAAAAAGCCAGTTCATGTAGACGGAACTGTGATGCTGGTGCCTGTCCAACTATTTTTTGTGGCTTTTTTGTTGAAAGTTACCCTTGAAAACCTCTTTTACAGTTGAATTTTAAGAATACATCTGTTAAAAAAGAAGTTACAGAAATGTTCTACATTGGGGTAGAAAAGGGAAAAGAACACTTTAAAGTCTAACTTAGTTCTATGTCTGTGCTTTTTCAGCTGTGGAATAAATGGAAATAAGAGATTTCCTCAAGGAAACAAAAGCTATAAATCTAAGGCAAATGATCAGAGTCCTCTGTTATTTTCCTGTTATGTCTCTGGAGTCTCTTCCCAGGAGTATCATCCCAAATCGCTCACTGTTGTAATGTGAATTCTATTTTCAAAGCAATTTAGATACTTTCACATCTAATTTTTACACGTCTGCATTGACAGTTCAATAAAAGTGTTTATGTGCATTTTGTATGTAAAATGCGACTAAGTTGTCACATAGAAATCCATAAAGACCGCTTACCATGTCTTGTGGAATTTTTCCTGGTGATCAAGGTGAACTAGAAAAGAAAACAGTAGCTTTTTAATTCATTAAAAATATATGTATTAAGATGGTCACAAGCACCAAATATATTTTTGTTAAACTTGAGTATTATGGCCTACAGCTATTAAATATCCCTTCTCTGTTGTAGCTAGTTGAAGTCTCTTATTTATAGTTTTTGATTAGCATCAGTAAAAATCCCATTCCTTAAAATTCCTCACTACAGTAAGAAGGTTAAAAGGGAGCCTTCTGCACAATGCAGCCTAAAATGCTGGGACTGAACACTTTTTTTCCCCATAACCCTTTTCTATTTTCTCCCATGCTTTATGTTTCTACAACCTTTAGTTTCCAAATTAATGCCAAACAAAAATCATAAACTTAAATGAAACACACTGTTCTCTCTCGTTAGTGGTGCCTGCACAGGGACAGCTATAAAAGAAGCAACTACCACAAAATGATTAAACCTATCCTGACTCCATTCAAGTAGTAAGATTTCTGTTTAAACCTATAGTGCACTTCGAACTGCATACAATCCCTTCTTTCACTTTATTTCTCTTTTTTTTTTTTTTTTTTTCAGACATCTGATCCTGCCTCCCATAAAGAAAACAAGCCAAATCAGGTTGCAATCACATTTTTAAAATGTGATAAATGTGAGGAAAAGGTGAAAGGAAGAGGGGCAACTGGAGAAGAAAAAAAAAATAAAGAAAAAGGAGGGGGAGAGAGGGAGAACAAGATATCTATAACCACCAGGCAGGATTTATAATTACCATAATTTTCAGTGTAATTTACCAGCATGAATCACTGAGATAGATTCTGAATCCTCTCCCTATCTGACAGTGATTTTATTACATTAAGATGTTAGCTGCTTCATCCACATGTTTCTCCTGATGCTCGCAGCTTCAACTTGAACTTTATGTTAGGTGAGTACCAGTGAACACTAGCAGAAATCCAGTATGCTAAACTGCCATTGCTACCCCTAAGACATGGTCAAATGCTATTCCCAGCAATACTGGAATATAGCCAAAACAGCACTTAAAACTGTTGTAGATTTATACCAGCATGAAACCAGGATTTTTCAAAATGCATGAATACAGTACCTACACCAGTTGTGTTCTGCCTCATATTTAACAATACTGATTAAACAGCAACTTTTTGCCTCTTAAGACAAGTCATATTGAATGAAAGGAGAATGGGGATTGGCCATATTCAAAGAAAATGTAAATCATGCAGCTACTACAAAGGCAAATTATTGTCCTTTGTAAAGCACACACCAAGCTAAACCCATAATGCCCTGGTCACACCAACCCATCTAACAGAAGCCCTACGTACATGAGCAGCCCCATTGCAATCAATGGGACTCATGCGAGCAAAGGATTGTAGGATCAGGAATCAGGCAACCAAAGTGTGAGAGTTCACTGTATTCTCACCTTCCTGCTTGGAGGAAGAGGAAAACCCAGCCCTGAGGTCACTAAAGCACTGTGGTGACTTGTAACACTCAAAACCCGCACATATATAGAAGACTCCTGGGCTATCCTTCTTTGTTCATTTCAAACACCCCATCTCCCACGCTAGCGCTCTTCAAAACTTTTATCTCACTCTCATGACGTACAGATTTCTGTCCCTTTCCCATATACCTCTGGATACTGTCAAGGCTGCTGTAGTATCTTTTTCTCATACTTAAAAACCTAAGTCCACAGTAGCCAATTCTTCCATTTTCCACTTCAGAAAAAGTATGTGCATTTCATTTTCATGGTCACTCTAATTTCTACATGACAAAATATTCTTTGAACTAGCTTCAGCATAAACAGAAATCAGGTTCAGAGCTTAATGTAAATACACTTTTTAAAGCACTAAATGATGAAGTCGGAGACTTTATTATTAGTACGCAACATGTACATATGCTCCCTGAAGGGGGAGGGGAAAAACCCTGGCAAAACTATCCAACTATCTTAGTTTACCAAATATGAAAAACCTGTTTTTCCAAACACAGAAACTTCAGTTATTTTCATAAATGAAACATTAGACAACAAATATAAAGCAGAGCATAACAATGTTGCAAGTTGCAACCCTAAATTAAAGAATGAGTTTGTTTTATTTTCAGCTGAATTACTCTTCCAAACTACATAAAATACGAAACATGACAAGAAGCAGAAAATAAATATCATCACTCTACTTCTATAATTTATATTTAAAAAATATATAGCAGCAACTGAACATATGAAACTCACCAGAACATGTAAAATTTAAAATCAGGAGATTTGTTTGCCTATGCTGACCATTAATGATGGAAAAGTTGTTTTTTTATAAATTTTATTACTTCCTTTTCTCAGTTTTAAAATATTTCCCCATTGATAATTAAATATGGATGTACTCCTTTTCATCAAAACATGCCTGTCTCCATACCAACTTGAGGCAAGTAAGCATTAGTAAAATAAATAAATCTGATCAAAGCAATGATAGCATTTAATTCCACTGGAGTTAAAGGAAGTTGAGACAATGTCCTACTGCAAAACACAATGATGAAATACTGTTTTTTTAAACTTGGTAATGTAATTCATACCCCGGGAGCAAAACCCTCTAGTGGTGTGTTGGCTGTTGTGCTGCCACATGGCTGCCATACTGGGGGTGACAGGTACAGCTCAGCAAGACCTACCAACGCGGGATTAAGGAGGGTTTGACTTTTATTCAGAACACCGATGAGCACAACATTAATCAACCTGTTGCATGGTATTAAAATATAAAATGTTATTATAGGAAGGTGAAATGTCAGTAAATTCAGATTTCAACAAAAAACATTTATGTAAAGCTTTCCTGAAAAAACAAATTATGTTTAAATCAGAAATGCCCAAAACAACAGACAACTGACCACATGCTTTGCCCACTGCTGCTTTTGTCCCTGGTCCTTTAGCGTTCTTCAGTCACGCCAGACGTCCTTAACTCAGTATCCAGTTTCTGGCCATGGGTGGTAAGAAACACTCAGTAAAATAGTAACACTATACAATAGAGTATGCATACAGGAATTACTTTTCTAGTTACATTCCTCCTGATTTCAGGAAGTAGTAGTTCAGATGATACTTTTTTCAGCTCCAAACTGTTTTTGGCATTTAAAGCCAGAATGTATCATTTCTCTGAACCCATGTATACTAAGTCTTTCCACAACAACCCGTGGCAGTTTAGTTTCTCAATTTAAGATGTTAAACATGAATTTGCACTGTGTAATTTGAACTCTACTATGTGCTTTTAAAAAACATCTGAAGAGTTCAGCAAGAAAAACAACATCAACAG